CAGTAAACGTTTTTCTTTGCGAAACGTTACTCTTTGGTAAATTTATAAGAAGAGGCAAAACGGTAACATTAACAAATGATCTTTGAGGCTAATTTCAAACTTATACAGAAGTTCTACTGTAACAAAAGACGTCAAATTTCGATAAACCCGTTCATTATCGATGGCATATAATTTTGTTAAGTCCAGTCAATGACTGTAATTTAACAGGATGTCTGTATGAATATTTATTTTTCATATCGACATATTCGTTCTTAAAACTAACTCTGTTTAACCAAGTTTTCCGGGCACAAACTGATAATATTTTCTGTACAACATAATCCAGTTGTACATTTTAACGACACTGTGCCAAATGGTGATAATATTTAGTTTTGAATGAGATAGCTAAATGAGAACGTACCCTACATTAAAGTACATAACATCGTCGATGTTGGGTTCCTGGGCTCCAACGCCGTAGACTTGTAGGTAGATACCAACTAGAATGCCTTCACCTTCAAGTGTGGAGAATATTCCTCCAACTACTTCCAAGTCCACATGACATTATAAAAGAGAAGACTATGATCGCCATTTTCATCGCTTGCTTTATTTGCAGTAAATGGGCGAAAGTTGGAACGGAGGTGCTGTCACGGCAAGGCGCAGAAATGATGTTACATTAACAATACTTTTGTGTCATCTTTCAGAATCGTGCCTCAAGTCGTCTTTGTAAAAAGAATTTTTGGGAAAAAATTGTAAAATCTACCTTTTTACTAATTTTGAGCCCAGTGGTAACTTCAAGTACCAACTTACTTAGAAATCAACATCTCTGTAATTTGCTAGCTTTTTTATAGTTGCAGATGGCAGGTTGTGTTAACTTTGGATAACTGATTTGATTACTTTTCTTACTGTAATAAACGAACAGCTTACATAGTTAGTCTCTTGTTATTACGTAATATACAGAAGGGCGTTCTCATATTGTTTATATGTACTGTACTGCGAATTGTGCTTACAGCTCGAGAACGAATATATTTCAAAACTGGCATCAAGAACAGATTTTAAGGAGATCAAAAGTCCGATAACTTGTTCTTAGTTTGAGTTCCTTCAAGGGAGATGTTTGTAGAAGACGTCTGTCTTTTGGGTTGTTGCGCCGTGTAGACCACCACCGTGAAAACCTCAAATCCTACGATGTTTTTGATTTTAAAGAGGAGATTACAGAAACAAAGACCATAACCTTAAACATATGTAAGATCAACATTATTATTTTGATGAGAATACTAAAGGAACAAAGTTTACAAACGCGAAATGAAATGTCTTGAAATTTCAACTTCGAAAAGATAAACCAAAGAGAAAGAGTACAGGACAACAACATTTATTTTGACCGAAAATACGTTCAAAATAACTCCCTCGCACATCAGGAAATAGAAGAATAAAAGTATAAAAATTTGAATATTTAATAAGTCACAAAAAGCATCAATGACACCATTCAACAGCACATCCTAAACCACTTTCTTCAGCAAATCCTAGTTACTAAACTTCTATTCTAAGACTTTATTCTACAATATATAACTTCTGTGATTAAAAAGAGTTAACATTGGAGGATAAGCGATAAATCAAATCATGTAAAGAAAATAAATACCTAGGGGTTAGCTCTGACGAATCAGGAACCCGACGACAGAGAACAAGGAAGTCCAGTGCCAGGAAAACGATGGCTTGCCTAAATGGAGTGTTATGGAGAGAGGAAATAGCAAAATGGAAATATAGGGTGTTTCAAAAGTCTCCAAACATAGGGAATAATGGATCAGCAGTTTCCGGATTCCTGAATTTGTCGCCGTGGTCCCGTTGACTGACCTCCGAGGTCCCCAGACCTCAGCCCACTCAATTTTTACTTGTGGGGGCACTTGAAGGAAAATATACGAAACATAACACTAGATGTGTTAGCGCGAGTTCACCATGAGTGTGAGAGACACATCTGTATGTGTTTTCAAAGGAATGACAACAATGTACAGCATGTTTTGTGAATAAAGTAGCACTTTGTTAAAAAGTGACCATTTTTCCTATGTATAGAGACTTTTGAATCACCCTGTATAACATATAAAATAATGATAAAAAGTAGTTTGTTATACGGGGCCAAAACATGGAGTATTAAAGGGTAAAACAGAAAATAGGAATTAAGGAAACTATAATATAGGACACAAAGAGAAAACAATTGATCTGCTATGGGCATGTAGAACGCATGAACGAGAGGAGAATACCGAAACAAGTACTGGAGTATACACCATCAGAAAGATGGAAAAGAGGAAGACCAAAGAAAGGATGAAGGGAAGGAATAATAGAAGCAGTGAAGGCTAGAGACTTAAGAAAGAATCAATGGAATGGTTGAAAGGAGTAAGATCTAGGCATTGGACGACGTCGAAAGAAGTTTTATTTATATATATATATATTATATATATATAAAGTAAAACAAAGAAAC